TCTGTTCGTTAATCAGAGTCTGTAATTCTGCTATATGCCGATTACACTCTGATATACGCTCAGATATATACGGTTGGGTATAATAATCTACAGGTGTATTAAGATAATAATTTTTCTGTTGTTGCCAAAACTGCAGAAAAGATAATAACTGTTCTAAAGTATTAATAGAGGGCATGCATACTTACAACCATGGAGAGTGCACACAAAAGCTTGATATTATTAATGGAGGAAGTACCACTATTTTACAAGAGGGGGTTGGAAGGATTACAAGAGAGAGAGGAGAAATTGTAAAAATAAAATTCAATCTGCCTCAACAAGGGTGGGACCATCCCTATTTATAATACAAGGAAGATAAGAGAGAATTGAACAAGTGGACATGTGTCTATTATGGACTGGACCGACGGCTTACACCTAATCCTTATCCTTATTTTCAGCTTTGTCGGAAAGTGGATGAAGAATCTCCTTTTAACTGATAGTGGGCATCACCTTTTCCCAAAGTTGTTTGTCTGGTAGTGCCGACACTCGACACAATTACTACTCTGGACCCTTGCCTTTGCTTTTAGTCATTTTCTCGGCTATTACAGCTGTTAGCGAGTCCCAAAAGTCACCAAGGTTGGGCTCATCTTCTTCTGGAAGTTGTGATTCTCCTACCAACACGTGTTCAGCTGGATCAGTATCTGGCTCGGATGCAGTCTGACTGGTGCTTGACCTCATGGAGGCATCATCATCTGGGCTGACTGTTTGGAGGAACTGTTCTTTCAGAAAATCCATGCTTTTAATTATTAATTCATGTTCTGAAAGATGAGGAAATTGCTGTTTTAATTCCTTTTGAATTTGGAGGAAAGGATTACTGGATAATGCTGGTGATGGTGTTGGTAAAGCAGGCTGCTTTACAGATTCCCAACATGCTTGGGTATGCTGTTGTATCTTCTGGACAGTTTCTGTTAAATTAGGGTTCATACCCTTATCCCACCATTTCACAAAAAAGATTCTTTTGAGACGGGGAATCTTATTCTGGTAGTCACAAGCAAAGTCTCATTTCCATATCCAGGGAATACCAAAACGGATAGTGAAATGAACGAGTGACTTACTGATAGAAAGGTCTCTGTTTTTATTCAAGTAGGAATATGCTCGAGAATAAGCAATATTCCATTCATTGAATGCATTTCGGATGGATTCTGGTAAAATATCAAATGAAAGCCCAAATTTATCCCACCAAACGAGGAACCAGTTAGGTACATCGTTTTTAAGGACATCAGGGCAAATGCAGATAAACCAAGAGTGATTCTTGATCGGATTCTGATAATAGAAAACCTGGGTAAAGGCATCAACATAATCCCAGTAACTGTATTTTGTCTATTTATTACACAAATCAATGTCACGAGTGGTATGCGGATGAATGCCCCATGTAGAAATGGACATAATATTACGGATAGTAATTTTATTGAATTGAATCGGGCTAGTTGTTTTATTAGCATCATGAAGAGTGTGCTTAAATTCAGCTGGCCCGGTTTCTGTTAATATCTGTTCATAGATATAACGATACTGGTCAAAGTGAGGAGGGGATTGTTGCGTCGTAAGATACCTGCGCTTGATCTTCCAGGGATCGGTCATCCATTGCTCATCTGTGGATTCAATGTAGAGGACTATTTCCTCTGTGATATTGTTAGGGGTATACGGTTCTTCAGTCTTAAGGAGAATGTCCTTAGCTGATGAATTACTGGTTTGTCCTCGAGAGAGGGACGAAAATTCTGTTGGATCATAGCGAGGGTGGTGACCCCGGCCACGACCACGACCTCGATGGCCCCTACTGGTCATTCCTCTTCAGGAGTGGATTTCTGCAAATATTCACGGGTCAAGAAATCAGGCAAAGAATTAGATTCTCCTTTGATATATTCAATATCAAAATCAAAATTAGATAAAAAAAACTTTGCCATGTTAAAAATATCTGTTTCGAGGCAAGATTTTTCACATCCTTTTTAAAAATTTGTTTTGCAGCAGAGCAATCAACTCTGATGAGAAAATGTTGGTTTAAAAGATCATCCTGAAATTTAATAACACATTTTACAACAGCTAAACATTCCTGTTTAATTGTGGAGTAATTTAAAGCTGCTTTATTCCAATGACCAGAATGGAATCTTAATAATTCCTCTTTCTTGGTGTTGGGATTAAACTGTTTTAATATCCCGCCAAATCCTGTATTGGAAGCATCAGTTTCAACAATCTTTTTCCAATTAGGGTTTGGTAACTGTAAGCAAGGTAACTGTTGGACTTTAGTTTTAATACGCTTAACAGCTAAAGTGTGTTCTTCATTCCATGGTGGCGGATTCTTTCTTAACCTGGTATACAAAACATTAGCATCTGCTGATAACTGATGATAATAATCTTTGATATAATTAAGACTTCCTAAGAATCTTTGTAATTGAGTTTTATCCTTAATTTCATCGGGAAATTTCGAGGCAAACTCAATACTTCTGTTAATAGGAATAATACTTCCATTGGAGATATTATGTCCTCAATCAGCTAGATTTATCAAATCAGACTATATTAAACTGTCAGATCTAGGCCTTGTTTGCAGAACACAACCGCCAACCAGAAACTATTATGCCAGACCAACTCTTCCTGATGTACTCTATGAAGAGACGTACATCAATGATCAGGGATCCTACCATGGTAAAACCATCTATGAATGGAATATAGATGGCAAATGATTTACTAGCCAGCTAAAAGGATGGTGGGATAACATTCTCACTCCTCTCCAGCACAATGAAATTCTTACTTCTGTTAAAATTGAGCTAGATCCAACCACTTAACAACCTGTTCAACAAGAGGATGCCGTTTACACTCAAGAACCGTATACCCCAAACAGTATTACAGAGGAAACAGTTCTCTACATTGAAACCGCAGATGAGCAATGGATGACCGATCCATGGGAGATCAAGCGCCGGTATCTCACGACGCAACAATCTCCTTCTCACTTTGACCAGTATCGATATATCTATGAACAGATATTAACCGAAACCAGGGCAGCTAAATTTAAGCACACTCTTCATGATGCTAACAAAACAACTAGCCCAATCCAATTCAGTAAAATTGTTATCCGCAATATTATGCCCATTTCTACATGGGGCATTCATCCGCATACCACTCGTGACATTGACTTGCGTAATAAACAGACTAAATACAGTTACTGGGATTATGTTGATGCATTTACCCAAGTTTTCTATTACCAGAATCCCATCAAGAATCATTCTTGGTTTATCCGTATTTGCCCTGATGTCCTTCAAAACGATGTCCCTAATTGGTTCCTCGTTTGGTGGGATAAATTTGGACTTTCATTAGATATTTTACCAGAACCAGTCAGAACTGCATTCAATGAATGGAATATTGCTTATTCTCGAGCATATTCCTATTTGAATAAAAACAGAGACCTTACTATCCGCTTTGGTATCCCATGGATATGGAAATGGGACTTCGCCTGTGATTACCAGAATAAGGTTCCCCGCATTAAAAGAATCTTTTTTGTAAAATGATGGGATAAGGATATGAACCCTAATTTAACAGAAACTGTCCAGAAAATACAACAGCATACCCAAGCATGCTGGGAGTCTGTCAAGCAGCCTGCTTTACCTGCTCCATCACCAGCATTATCCAGTAATCCTTTTCTCCAAATTCAAAAAGAATTAAAACAGCAATTTCCTCATCCTTCAGAACATGAATTAATAATCAAAAGTATGGATTTTCTGAAAGAACAGTTCCTCCAAACAGTTAGCCAAGAAGATGATGTTTCCATGAGATCAGGTACCAGTCAGACTGCATCAGAACCAGAGAATGATCCAGCCGAACACGTGTTGGTAGGAGAGTCACAGCTTCCAGAAGAAGATGAGCCCAACCTTGGTAACTTTTGGGACTCACTAACAGCTGTAATTGCAGAAAGAATGACTAAAGGTAAAGGCAAGGGTCCAGAGCATTAATTGTGTCAAGTGTCGGCACTACCAGACAAACAACTTTGGGAAAAGCAGATGCCCACTACCAGTCAAAAGGAAAATTTTGCTCCACTTTCCGACAAAGCTGAAGATAAGGATAAGGATAAGGATAAGGTGTATCCGTCGGTCCAGTCTGTAACAGACACCTGTCCACTTGTTCACTTCTCTCTTATCTTCCTTGTATTATAAATAGGGATGGTCTCACCCTTGTTGAGACAGACTGAAATTTTATGTTTACAATTTCTCCTCTCTCTCTCTCTTGTAATCCTTCCAACCCCCTCTTGTAAAATAGTGGTACTTCCTCCAGTAATAATATCAAGCTTTTGTGTGCACTCTCCATGGTTGTAAGTATGCATGCCCTCTGTTAATACTTTAGAACAGTTATTATCTTTTCTACAGTTTTGGCAACAACAGAAAAATTATTATCTTAAGACACCTGTAGATTATTATACCCAACCGTATATATCTAAGCGTATATCAGAGTGTAATCGGCATATAGCAGAATTACAGACTCTGATAAACGAACAGATAGTTGCGTGGGCGGCTAGAAGGCCTCCACCTCCTCAACAGTAGACTAATGGGATCATATATGTGTTAATTTATTGTGTTTATCTACATATTATGTGTATGACTATTCCTGGGTTTGTGCTAATATAAGGTTAATTAATTGTGAAGGCTAGTGGGACGTCACCCAAGTCGCGTAGGGTTAGGTCGTATATCAGGGATTGCAAGTTGGCCATCTATACCTGTAAGTCGTTGACAGACGTGCTAGCCAAAACCTTTAGTGTGCACCTTAGTTGGTATCAGAGCCAGGTTTAATTATAAACATAATATGGTTATAAACTCAATAAATTAAGCATATATGATCACAATACATCCATGGCAGAAATTACTAATGAAACACCAGTAGAACCAACAGGTAATGAATCAGTAACAACTGTAGGTAATACTGTTACCTCCCTAACCGAAGCAACTGAATTAGTTGCCTATCAGGATGTAAAGGATGCCTTAGACAAATGGACAATCCCAACAGTAGATCCAAAAACAATTTATAAAATCGGACATTTTAATTTCTGTTGGATCATAGCGAGGGCTGTGACCCCTGCCACAACCACGACCTCGATGGCCCCTGCTGGTCATTCCTCTTCAGGAGTGGATTTCTGCAAATATTCACGGGTCAAGAAATCAGGCAAAGAATTAGATTCTCCTTTGATGTATTCAATATCAAAATCAAAATTAGATAAAAAAACTTTGCCATGTTAAAAATATCTATTTCGAGGCAAGATTTTTCACATCCTTTTTAAAAATTTGTTTTGCAGCAGAGCAATCAACTCTGATGAGAAAATGCTGGTTTAAAAGATCATCCTGAAATTTAATAACACATTTTACAATGGCTAAACATTCCTGTTTAATTGTTAGATAATTAGAAGCAGCTTTAGTCCAATGACCAGAATAGAATCTTAATAATTCCTCTTTCTTGGTATTGGGATTAAACTGTTTTAATATCCCGTCAAATCCTGTATTGGAAGCATCAATTTCAACAATCTTTTTCCAATTAGGGTTTGGTAACTGTAAGCAAGGTAACTGTTAGACTTTAGTTTTAATACGCTTAACAGCTAAAGTGTGTTCTTCATTCCATGGTGGCGGATTCTTCCTTAACCTGGTATACAAAACATTAGCATCTGCTGATAACTGATGATAATAATCTCTGATATAATTAAGACTTCCTAAGAATCTTTGTAATTGAGTTTTATCCTTAATTTCATCGAGAAATTTCGAGGCAAACTCAATACTTCTGTTAATAGGAATAATACTTCCATTAGAGTTATTATGTCCTAAATATCTAACTGTTGTTTGGAACAATTGCATTTTTGGTGCTGAAATAACTAATCCATTTATGATAATAACATTCTTAAAAATATTAAGATGTTTTAGATGCTGGTCAATTGATGAAGAATAAGAGTGTAAACGGCATCCTCTTGTTGAACAGGTTGTTGAGTGGTTGGATCTAGCTCAATTTTAACAGAAGTAAGAATTTCATTGTGCTGGAGAGGAGTGAGAATGTTATCCCACCATCCTTTTAGCTGGCCAGTAAATCCATTAATAATGAATTTAACAATTGCATGGTCGCTATTACTGTATTGGCGGCAAACGGTGGCATACATCATCATCTGATGTAATTTCTTGTAAATACCATATTCTGATTCGCCATCTATATTCCATTCATAGATGGTTTTACCATGGTAGGATCCCTGATCATTGATGTACGTCTCTTCATAGAGTACATCAGGAGGAGTTGGTCTGGCATAATAGTTTCTGGTTGGTGGTAACATAGCTGGTCGAGAAGAATTATAGGCATGAAGTTTGGTTACAGATGTGGGTTCCTGGAAATTTAATTGTATCTCTTGAATTTGTTCAGGTGATAAATCCTCTTCCTGTTCTTGTGTAGGATTCGCTCTAAGCATTTGAATGGAACCAGAGGGTTCATAAGATTCTGGTCTAACATTTAATGTTTTCATTTTCTGTAATAAAGTGTCCATAAATTCTGTATTAGAGGCTTTTAATTTAAAATTGGTTACCTCTAATGGTGGCTTAATGGATACGGGATGGATTGTTGAAGGTCCTACTGTTGGTGGAGCTAAATTCCTATCTCTGAAATAGCTTCTTCAATTCTAGTTAACTGTTTACCCACTGTTTGACAAAACAAATTAGTATAATTATGTTGTCTGCAAACAAGGCCTAGATCTGACAGTTTAATATAGTCTGATTTGATAAATCTAGCTGATTGAGCATCTATATATGCTGTGGCAACTAACGGTTGACGAGTTACTTCTCCATTAGGAGCTAACTCTAAGGATTGGGGTGGTGGATGAAGGGCATGGATGACTTGTCCTTCAGTTGTAGTCCACGTCTTATACTGATCTTCTAATATATTTAATTGGGAACTAAATACTGTATTATACCACTCTACAAAAGGTATCAATTTCTGGTATAATTCAAGGTGTTGATAATACTGAGTCTTGTATTCTTGTAACTGTTGAGGCGTATGGTTTGCAAAATACCATGTCCTAAATTCCTGATATTGAGGTTGAAGAAATGCCTGGTTTAAATACTTACGATTTGCACTTCCTGGTGTAAAATCCATTAGATTTCAAAATTCATGTCACTGGCCGTTGGGCTATCTGGTGCTGGGGTCGTATAGACACCATGTGGTATTTGGTTATTGGATATCCTAATACCTTGTATTTCTGAAATCATTGGATCCTCATTAGGATCACTAGGGGGTCTACTAAGAGGTCTATCTGGTATGAGGGAATCTACCGATTGCCTACTGGATTCGGGTAAATCTACTCTATAAGGAGGAGCAGAATGGAAACTGTTATTGGAAAAGCTTTTTCAAAATGATAATATTGAACAAACAGAGCATAATGTTCTCCAAGTATTCATGTCCTTCATTCATAGGTCTAACAGTGCCACCATAATTGCTAAACAAATTTAAACAAAGCATTATTATAAAATTAATAACAAATAAAATAACAGGAAGATAAATTTTATAGTTTTTTTTTTTTTTTTTTTGAAATACCTCTAGTTAATTTTTTGGAGAGTGGATTTCAAAGCTAAATACACAGCACGCCATCCAGCTTGTGTTGGATGCACCATGTCCCAAAAGAATGCAGCTTCAGGGTTGTTACATACGGCATACATCTTGGCTCCTTTCTCATCTAGGCTACCACAGTAATGCCCACTGCTTGTACCCATACAACATGGCTTCAATGGAGTCTCAAATTTCACACTTCCTGCTCAGGAAGAAGTTGATATCGGTTTATTGCAATCAACTGATAAAATCCACACAAAAATTTTTTTTTGAAAAACTATAACAAAACACAAAAACAAAATGCATCACTGTCTGTTTCTTACTATTCCAAAATAGTTGAGAATTACCAAAGAAAAGGCATGGTCTCTCTTATCGTACCAAAAACAGCCCACCCTTACACTTCTGGTTAAATTGGCTCTTGCGCTAATTTGGTGTTAAATTTACTAACGTAAATCGTCATGTAACCTCTCACATAAGATACTGTTAGGGCAAACAAAAAAAATTTTATTTTCTTTTTCTTTTTTTCCCCCTATTTTTTCACTGTATTTGCTATCTTTGCTAAATTTTCTGAACCCACTGCCACCAATTACCCGTTCTTGCCACTCCCTAACCCTTTAGAAAAAATGGTGGGGGCGAGTGGCGATGAATGTGTGTAGGTTTAGAAAATATAGTAAAGGAAAAAAATATGGTGAAGAAATTAAAAAATAAAAATAAATATGAAGAAAATTATTTGTATGCCCTTAAAAATTGCATTATTTGAGAGTCACATAACAATTTTCTTTAATTAATTTAAAATCACATTCCAACTTGAAAAAATATAAAAGGTTGATTATTACAATTAAAAAATAATAACCTTAGGTGATATTGGATATAAAGTGTAATTTACCCATTCTCCAGTTTGAAATGTTAGGCCTAAGTTTAGCCACATCATTAAATATTAAACTTTCGGGTAAATTACACCAGTAATTCATATGTTTTAGCCATTGTATCATTTTAGTCATTGTAATTTTAATTGATTCAATTTTAACCTTGAATCTTTTACTTTGTCTCAATTTGGTCCAATAGAGTCAACAATTAGCATTTTTTTTTTAACGAAAAATGCACATATGAGTAACATATGTTATATTTTTAGGAACAAAATTATAAATGTGACAACTAGCCAAATTGATACATAATTTAAAATTAAGAATAAAAATTGAGCTAATTGAAAGTATAGGGACCAAGATGACACATAAGGTGAAATGTCAGAATTACCAATGTAATTTGCCTTAAATTTTTTTTAAAACTGTTTTGTGAATTGAAAATCAAAATATGTATTTCCTTTAATTAAAAAAAAAAATTAAAGAAAGAGAGTGAAGCAGAGAAATTACCTAGAAAATTTCCTTTGGTCTTGAGTACAGAAATGAAGGAGCCATAAAGGTCAAGGATGACAAAGGCAGAAGAATCCTTGGAGTTATTGTTGAGCTTGGACACAGCTTGCTGAAGCAAGAGGTTGTGAAAAGTGACAGCAGTGTTCTCAGTGGCATTGCATTCTTGGAATGAATTCAACACTGTGCTTCTAGGGAGGCATCCCAGTGGCTGCATTGCTGTCACTGCCACTTTTCTCACTCCTATATCTTGTATTCTTTTCAAGTTCTCTGCTAGTTGATCAACCACTGCACTTATGAATGATGGCAAATCCTACAAAAACACACAGATTGTTCGAGTACAAACTCTCAAGCATATATTTGTTCTAACTCAATATGGCCACCAGATTTTTTATTCTCAAATTTTGTCACAGTTGTTGAATTATGTGTCAAGACTTTTGTGCTTTTTATATTCTTACGTGATTTAATGATTATGAGTGTTTTGAAATAGAGAGACAAAATAATTTGGAAATAGAAAATCTTTAACGTATTTGATTTCTAAAATTATTATGTCGGGAGCTTTTAAATACACTCACATAATTTCTCTTCATACCCATTTGTATTGCATATCTAGTGATTTTTTTCTTTTAAATATAATTATACATATGGATGTAGAGAAAAATTTGAGAGGTGTATTTAATAGCTCTTTTATGTCTTTATATCGATAAAACATTACTCTTTTAATAAATTCTATTAACAAAAATTGAAGAAGTACATTAAGATAAGCATCAATAAAATATAGAAAGGAAGGGGGAAGGGAGCAAAATCAAAATCAGTTTCAATTACTGATAAACAAATTATTTACTGGCCAAAACTTATGTACTTCATTAGAAGATCATAAGTTTGATTGATGTCTCTCCTCTAATATATCAAAAAAATAAAAATAAAATGCTTGATAAATAAAATACTATACATATGAAATGAGTGCGACTCAAGAACGTTGTATGGACAAATCACACATTTTGATGATGATCTATTTTGAGAAGATGGTAAAAAGTGATATTTTGACTTTTAATCAAGTTTTTAACTTTTTTAGACATATGATTTGAAAAGTTGGTAAAAAATTACTTTTGACTTTTTTTTATTAATATTTATTTATAATGTCAAATCACAATAAAATGACCAAACTGTCTTCATTTAATTTAAAATATTTACAACTTCAACCATATAGAACATTTTGACCCATGAGGAATAGAATTGTAATTTTAACATTGGCTAAAAACTAACTTCTCAAATGAAAAAAAAACCAAAAAAATTAACTTTCAACTTTTATTACAAACCAAAAAAAGTAACTAAAAACTATGTCCCAAAAGAAGCCGATATATATGTCAATTTGTTTTTCTTTAGATATTTCTAGATTGGAAGAATCTTAAAACATTAATGATTGAGGCCTCAAATTTTTTGGCTCAAATTTGCCTCGAATTTGCTTTTTTTTTTTTTTTTTTTTTTTTTTGCTCGAGGTGTGATGATTTGCTTGTTATTATTATTATTATTTTATTTATTTTTTTCTGCAATGATTTAGCTAAAAAAAAAAAAAAAAAAAAAAAAAAAAAAAAAAAAAAATGGCATGTCAGGCAAATTTCGCGCCTCCAGTTCGAAGGCCTCAATCACGGCTATTCTTAAAAACCCAAAAAATTTGCAAACAAAAATATTGATGTGATAAAGAGGACCATTTATCAAGAAACCAAACATTGGTAGGTCATCGGTGTGAGCCCAACGTCAGTTAGCATTTCAGACTGGGGCAGTGTGAATCCAAGAATTAGAGAAGACATAAACCACGCTGGATTTCTTAAGATGAGAGAGAAATACTTGGGATATCGTTTTATGATGTCCAAACAACTAAACAAACTTTGCCATATAGGCTTCCTTTGGAAAGTTAGCTTTTAGTTTTTTTTTTTTCTTCTTTAAATGTTTGTAAAAAATTAAAAGTTGACTTTTTTTAAAAAATTATTTTGAAAAATGATTTTTAACCACATGAATGAAATTACAATTCTACTCTTATGAGTCAAAATGTGTTACATGGATGAAGTTATAAATATTTTAAACTAAATGAGATTAATTTGATCATATTTATTATGATTTAACATTATAAATAAATATTAATCAAAAAAATTAAAAATTATTTTTATTACTTCTCATAAATCATTTATACTAAAAAAATCAAAAATTTAATTAAAAGCCAAAAAATTACCGTTTACCGTCTCCTAAAATAGACCATAAAGGCAAAGGTTTGTCAAAACGTTATGAAATAGGACATACAAACTACTTGGTTCACAGACCATAGATATTTGTCAAGTAACAATTATGAATTATTTGTCATAAATTTAAAAAAAATCAAAAAAAATTATTATTTTTATTTAAGTTATATCATCTTATTTAGTTAAGTTTAGGATATGTAAAAAAAGTCAAAACATAAAAAAAGTTACTTAAAAGTTAAAAAGTTAATACTATTCACCAAAAGTCAACAAATTACGTCGCACAACTCTCAATCTCTAATTTTCCTTTACAAACTAATTTTTACAATTTTTATATGACACATTTTTTCATGAAAAGTCAAAAATTAACCAAGCATCCATATTTTTCCTTAACTTTTTTAGTTTAAAAAGACAAAAGTAAATTATTTAGGACACCCCAAACAACCCCTTAAGTCACATCACCTCTTTACCACATCATTCAAAACCCAACCCATATCTAACCTATATTTCATAAAAAATTAATAAGTAACACTTGTTTAGATCATTCCAAACCACCCCCATATGCACTGATTCCAAAAAAATGTTTTAAACTGTACACATCATAAGAAGAGTCTTGCGCAAATGGGGCAGGTTAATATGTTGGCCATAATTACTAACCTGTGCACAGGGAGCTGGGTTGAAAAACAACTATCAATTGTTTGATTCGCAGAATTTAACGAGAGTTTTATTTTAATAATTTGAATTATTTATTTTATAAGATTATATATATATATATTATTATAATTTTTTATTAATTCGATAATATTAATAATGGTAGTATTTGGTTTAATTTTTAAATTAATTTTTGAATTGAAAATTAGAAATATGTTTAGTTTACCATTTTTTAAAAATTGTTTTTAAAATTATTTTTCTCTCTCTCTCTCTTTACACATCAATCAATCAATTTTTCTCTCACACTTATCTATTTAACTCAAAAAAAAAAAAATACTACAAATCATTCTAAAATTATTTTCAAAAATTTATAATCAAACAAGTTTTCAATTTTCAAACACTTAGTCTCCGTTTGGTGGAGTTTCAAAATCTAGTTCCACACTCACTTTGAGTGTGGTGTTTGTTTAGGGTTTTTAATCATAATTCTACACTCATTTCTCAAAACTCAATTCAAAACATAATCATTACTTTTCAAAACTCATAACCAAACACATAATTCAAAACTTTTTCAAAACTCCATTTAAATCAATATTTTAAAAATATTTTAATTTTATTAAGATTTTAAATATTTTATATATTAAATATGCTACGATTTTTTTAATTTTTTAATTTTTTTAATTTTTTGAATAATTTTTAAATAAATTTACGATTTTAATTTTTTAAATTTTAAAATAATTATAAAAATAAATTCAAACTCATTATTTTAAAAATATTTTTAAATATTTTAATTTTTTGTTATGTATTTGGTTACGATTTGAGTGTAGAGTTTGTGAAAGTAGTATGGAGTTTCGAGTTATGTGTTTGTTATGAGTTTTAAAAATAATTTTTTAAATTGAGTTTTTTTATTGTTTGGTTACGATTTAGATATGGAGTTGTTTTTTAAATTTAAAATATTAAAATTTTAATTATTTTAAATTTTTTAAAATGTTTAAATATTTAAATTTTTACGATTTAAAATTTGTATTTATTTTAATTTTTTACTTATTAAATTTTTAGATTATTTAAATTATATTAAATAATTTATGATTTAAATTTTTTGAATATTTATTTTGAAAAAAAATTATTCCTTTGTAGTATTTTCAATTAAAAAATTGATTAATGTTATTTTTGTTAATAATAAATTTTTTTTAATTGAATTTTAAAAAGAGTTTGACCATGATATCGAGTTAAAATTTTCAATAATGTGAAAGTAATGTGTTTTGTTATGAGTTATAACAATTTGAATTAAGTTTTGAAAACTCTTTTCAAAACTCATAACCAAACAAATTTTCTTACTTCACATGTCAAATCAAACTTTCAAAACTCAATTCTACACTCAATTCCACACTCAATTCAACACTTTATTCAAAAACCATAACCAAACAAATTTTCTACACTCAAATCATAATTCTAAAACACACAAACTCAAAATACAACTCATATTCTCAAATCATAGTTACAAAGCTCTACCAAACGGAGCCTTATATTTCAAAATACAATTCAAATTTTTTTTAAATATTGAAACCAACAGAGCCAATATTTTTATTTCATTACATTTGTCTAAAACAAAAAATAAAAAATAGATGATCTTTTTTTTTAAAAGAAAAACATAATAAAATAAATTCGATTATCTGATTGATTTAATTTTTTCTATGAATATTGAACATGGAAAGTCTTATAAAATGAAATATTTGGATCATCGAAATATAATCCGTGATAGATCTCACAAGCCCAATAATCTTTTCAAATTTATATTTGAATTTGAGAAAAGTTGGAACTCTAATTTGGCAAACCTATAGATTTCAGGGAAGTTCAACTCCAATTTTTATCTTTGTCATTTAGAGCTCAAATATTGCAAATAGTTTTAATGAGCACCGTTTGAGAAGTGGGTTGGTTTTTTGGCTTTTTGACTTTTTTGACTATATGAGCCTGGGCTCAAAAACTTAGTTTGGGAAGAGCTTTTGGCTTTTTGACTTTTTTGATTTTTTTGTGAGAGAAGAGTGTAATGATTATGGGGTTGGATGGGATGTTTTGTCTGTTGTGGCTCATGAGCCTATTCTGTCTTTTATGGCTCATTGAGCCAAAAAATCCCAATGAGTCCTTGCCAAACTAACACAGAATAGGCTCATGAGCCACAACAGACAAAACATCCCATCCAACCCTATAATCATTACACTCTTCTCTCACAAAAAAATCAAAAAAAACTAAAAAGCCAAAAGTTCTTCCTAAACTAAGTTTTTGAGCCCAGGCTCATATAGTCAAAAAAGTCAAAAAACCAAAAAGTTAACCCACTTCCCAAACGGAGGCTAAAAGTCTCTTTTTTTGGAGAGAATTTTTTGGCTCTGCTAACTTTACATTTATGTTAAATATTTGTGAAATAAAGATAGACATATGCCTTTATGATTCATGAAAAATACCACATGACAGTAGCAAGGGATATCTCCCACCATGCAATAAACTTTGACATGCTACATTTTTGTCTCAACCCTAAACTTTGACATGCTAGATTTGAGGTCAATCTTGGTCACTAAATACCAAAAGTTTACAATAAGATGAATTATTTATAAATGAACAATATTATACATAAATAGAATCTTTACTTAATTCTCTTACCATCAACAACAAAGGTAAATATGAATTGCACATATATTTATTAATATGGATTTCACAATAATTATGTTTGGTGCGAGAAAATATGACGAAATTTACGTTATTCTACCCAAATTAATCACAAACATTGGTTAAACCAAGAGCTACTACCAAAAGATCTGGCTCGTATTTTAAAATCAACCGCCTAAATTGACCTAGATCTCTGAGATCCATTACAAAATAATTCAAAATCCCCAATTATTTTGGATTAAATAGTTTCCCGCTTGCGCTTGCCTTTTTAGATCTTTTAATCCTGGCCGCAGATCTGGGAGCAGAGCCCTGTAGCCGACAACACGACACCAAATACGGAAGGGAGTACCAATTAGGGGACGACACGTGGCGCGGGGGGGGAGCGCCCCAGTAATATTATAGGGACGCTCCTGGGATCATATATAAGTCACTCCCTCACTCTCTTCTACCAGTAAAGTTTTTAGAGAGTGACTTGCGTCATCCGAGAGAGTGAGTGACGTCATTGAGAGTGAGTTATGGCCTCAATGCGACGTCGTTTTAGAGTTCAAAACAATAACATCTTCCTCACATATCTCAGATGTTCTGTACTTAAAGAAAGATTGTTACAGAAAATTAGAGAGTTGTTCGCTAACAGGCCACCAAATTATGTGAGGGTTGCACATGAATTACACGAGGACGGTGAACCACATCTATATGGTCTCGTCCAATTTCCATACCGTTTTTCAGACACAAGATGAACGGTTCTTCGACGTTACTTATGATCGCAATAATCGCCATTTCCATCCAAATATACAAGGGGCCAACAACCATTAGGCTGTGTTGGAATACATCTCCAAATACAGGAACTACACGGAATGGGGTCAATTTTGTGAGAGGGGTCGCTGTGCTAACAAGGCCAACAAAGAAAATGTATATCACGAAACTCTTGCAGCCTGAAGTAAAAAAGAAGCACCGACACTGGTAAGAAATGGCAATCTAAAATGTTTCTAGCTAAATTATGACAAGTTGTCATCCAATTACGACAGGATTTCATTTACTCCACCATTGCTGTATGTTCATCAATTTACAGATACAGTGTGGATCGTTCCAACAGGCATACAGCAATGGGTTGCAGAAAATATAAGGGACGAAGCCCAAAGACCACACAGGCCCAAGAGCATTATAATTGAAGGTCCATTTAGAATTGAAAAAACATGTTAGGCTCGGTCTTTGGGGCCACATAATTATTATTCCGGCCACATCGATTTGAGGGACCACAATGACAAGGCTTTTTACAACATAATCGATGATGTGGCCCCACAATATTTGAAACATTGACGGGAATTTATTGGAGCGCAACGGGATTTTTTTTCAAATTGTAAATATGCTTGCCCAAAGAAGACAAAAGGCGAGATTCCAAGTATTATATTATGCAACCCCGGAGCCGATTCTAGTTACAAAGAATTTTTGGGAAAACATGAACACACCGGGCTTCAAGCGTGGACGATCCAAAACGCAGAGTTCTACACACTCAGTCAGCCCCTCTTTGCCAGAACCGATCAAGAAGAGACATCACAATGAGAAGAAGAAGGCCCAATACAGGAAGATATTCCACTTCCAATGCGGCTATTCGTTATTCCACATGAACGGATGTATCGAACCACATCCACTGGAGAGAGAGGAAGCTATCAGGGGTCTTCTACGATACTTTGAAGAACCTGATATGGTTCAAAGCAGTAGACATGTCCATGCCGGGGAGCCAGGTGTATACAAGTTAGAATGCCTATTCAACTACAACCTCCGGAAAGCATTGGAAGTCCGGACATTCACCGCAACAATGTATACATGGCTGACATACAGTGGTCTCAAAAGCCTGACGCAGAATGTATTTACTCGGCTTATTGCACGTAGGATGACAAAGACATTATCCAGCTTTGGAATTATTAGCCCTGTAAATTATTGTCTCGCACTAACCATTGTACTCGACGAGACTTCATATCATGTAAAAGATTGGCGGTGGGAAAATATTTATATAAATTTTTATGATTAAATGATGTTCACGTACATTTAATTAATGTGATTGTTATTTTGGATCATCAACAGTAATATAAATGGGCCCAATTATAGTCTCCCAAATGAAGAGGCCCATATAACATGACAAGGCCCATAATTGGTCAATGCTTTTTCATAGGCCCATCAAAACTATGAAAGAAGTGGACACTAAAATGGATCATATTCGGAGGCCCATTAGACATAGGCCCATCAGTCAGAGATAAGGCCCAATAAACTTAACAACTTTTATGTGCACGGCGGCACAGTAAAGTTTTAAACTAAAAATAAAATAAATTTATTGCGTATTGCAAAGAAAGACAACTTATGATACAAAATAATTATTTTACACAATTTTTTTTTTATCCAAAAAATCCAAAACCAGAATGCACAACAGGATCTTCTTCATCCACAGTTACGCAACGGATATCAACGGCAGGATGTGTGTCCTCTATTGTTTGCATGGATGGAGCCATCGCCTGGGTTTCTAATTCGGAAACCACTTTCAGACCGGCAAATATAGCCGGACTCCCAATGCTTTCCGGAGGTTGTAGTTGAACAGGCATTCTAACTTGTATACACCTCGGTTCCCCGGCATGGACATGTCTACTGCTTTGAACCACATCGAGTTCTTCAAAGTGTTGTAGAAGACCCCTGATAGCGTCCTCTCTCTCCAGTGGATGTGGTTTGATACATCCGTTCGTGTGGAATAACGAACAGCCGCATTGGAAGTGGAATATCTTCCTGCGTTGGGCCTTCTTCTTCTCATTGCGATGCCTCTTCTTGATCGGTTCTGGCGAAGAAGGGCTGACTGAGTGTGTAGAACTCTGCGTTTCGGATCGTCCACGCGTGGAGCCCGGCGTGTTCATGTTTTTCAAAAAATTCTTTGTAACTAGAATCGGTTCCGAGGTTGCATAATATAATACTTGGAATCTCGCCTTTTATCTTCTTTGGGCGGGCATATTTACAATTTGAAAAAAAATCCCATTGTGCTCCAATAAATTCCCGCCAATGTTTCAAATATTGTGGAGCCACATCATTGATTATGTTGTCAAAAGTCTCGTCATTGTGGTCCCTTAAATCGATGTGGCCGGAATAATAATTATATGGCCCCAAAGATCAAGCCCAACATGCTTTTCCAATTCTAGATAAGCCTTCAATTATAATGTTCTTGGGCTTGTGTGGTCTTTGAGCTTCGTCCTTTATATTTTCTGCAACCCATTACTGTATGCCTATTGGAACGATCCACACTGTATCTGTAAATTGATGAACATACGGCAATTGTGGAGTAAATGAAATCCTGTCGTAATTGGATGACAACTTGTCATAATTTAGCCAAAAACATTTTGGATCGCCATTTCTTACCAGTGCTAGTGCTTCTTCTTTACTCTGTAAATTCCGAGTAAATTCACAGAAAATTCTCAGTAAATTCCGAGTAAATTCCCAGAAATTCTTAGTAAATTCCTAGTAAACTCTAAGTAAATTCCTCAGTAAATTGCTAGTAAATTCCCAGTAAAATACTCAGTAAATTCACCATAAATCATCAGTAAATTTCTCAGGAAATTCCAAGTAAGTTCTCAGTAAATTACTCAAGAAATTCCCAATATATTCTCAGTAAATTCCCAGTAAATTCTCCGTAAATTACTCATTAAATTCCAAGTAAATTACTCAGTAAATTCCCAATAAATTCTCTGTAACTTACTCAATAAATTCCCATTAAATTCTCAACAAATTAATCAGTAAATTCCCAGTAAATTACTCAGTAATTTCTCCATAAATTATCAGTAAATTTCTCATTAAATTTCAAGTAAATTACTCAGTAAATTCCCATTAAATTCTCAGTAAATTACTCAGTAAATGACTCAATTAGTTCCCAGTAAATTCTCAGTAAATTACTCAGTAAATTCTCAGTAAATTACTTAGTAAATTCCTAGTAAATTCTCATTAAATTACTCAGTAAATTCTCATTAAATTACTCAGTAAATTCTCATTAAATTACTCAGTAAATTCTCATTAAATTACTCAGTAAATTCTCATTAAATTACTCAGTAAATTCTCATTAAATTACTCAGTAAATTCTCATTAAATTACTCAGTAAATTCTCATTAAATTACTCAGTAAATTCTCATTAAATTACTCAGTAAATTTCAAGTAAATTTTCAGTAAAGTCTCAGTAAATTACTCAGTAAATTCCTAGTAAATTGCTCGGTAAATTATTCAGTAAATTCCCAGTAAATTCTCAAAAAATTTCTCTGTAAATTGCTAGTAAATTCTCAATAAATTACTCAGTAAATTCTCAGAAAATTACTCAGTGAATTCCCAGTAAATTCCCAGTAAATTCTCAAAAAATTTCTCTGTAAATTGCTAGCTTCTTTCATAGTTTTGATTGGGCCTATTAATTTGGGAGACTGTAATTGGGCCCATTATATTATTGTTGATGATCCAAAACAATAATCACATTAATTAAATATATCTTAACATCTTTATTATTTAATCGTGAAAATGTACATAAATATTTTCCCACCGCCAATCTTTTACATAATATGAAATCTCGTCGAGTACAATGGTCAGTGCGAGACAATAATTTACAGGGCTAATAATCCCAAAGATGGATAATGTCTTCGTCATCCTGTGTGCAAAAAGCCGGGTAAATACATTCTCCGTCAGGCTTTTGAGACCACTGTATGTCAGCCATGTATACATTGTCGCGGTGAACGTTCGGACTCCCAGTGCTTTCCGGAGGTTGTAGTTGAATAGGCATTCTATCTTGTATACCCCCTGATTCCCTAGCATGGACATGTCTACGGCTCTGAACCACATTGGGTTCCTCAAAGTGTCGTAGAAAACCCCTGACAGCATCTTCTCTCTCCAGTGGATGTGGTTCGATAAATCCGTTCGTATGGAATTTCGAACAGCCGCATTGGAAGTAGAATATCTTCCTGCGTTGGGCTTTCTCCTTCTCATTGCGATGCCTCATCTTGATTGGTTCTGGCGAACAGGGACTGGTCGACTATTTAGAACTCTGCGTTTCGGATCATCCACGTTTGGAGCCCGGCGCGTTCATGTTTTTCCAAAAATTCTTTATAACTAGAATCGGCTTCGGGGTTGCATAATATAATACTTGG